TCCATCCACCTTTCTCCCTCCTCCGCTTCCCACCATCCCACCTTCGGCCATTCTCCAATCTCTAGCCATCATCTTCCCACCATCTCCACCTCCCTCTCTCTCTCTCTCATTTTTATTTTTATTTTTATGGTCCATATCTCGATTGAAGCGTGTCATCGTCGTGAAGGGGCCTTGTTAATCTTCTYTGTATCGTGGGTTTGAGGGCCTGCGGTTGCTGGCAGTGCTTTGATTGGGTGCTTTGATCCATGGACAGGCAACTGGATAACCRTTGTCGCCCAGCAGGTAACCTCGCGTTACTACACCGTGCGGCAGATTCTCTGGAGGTGCGTCGAACAGCTCGCCAGTTTCTGCACGCCTCCACAGCCGGGAATTGTGCAGGACACGGATGTCGTGCACACTTCCCGGGTATCCGAGGTGGACGTCGAGGATCCGCAGATCCAAATCCACCACCACCTGCGCCTGCACGGAGAACTTYTGTTTGCGGTCGTAGTAGTTGGCCGAAGGTGCGCCGGCGAGCTTGTCAATGTAGATGTGTGTACAGTCGATTGCGCCGAAGCAGTTCGGGAAACCCTTCTCACGGAAAGCACGCAGAATCTGCGCACGTCTACGGCCCACTGGCCACTTGATCGCGTCGGGGTACGCCTGCATCAGCGCGGAAGTCATGTCGCGGACGGCCTGCAGTGCAGTGGCCCTCCCGATGTCAAAGGCTGATGTGCCGCTCTTGTACGTCTCTCCAGAAGCCCACCCATACAACGCGAAAGCGATCACCTGCTCCACTGGCAATGGCATCCTATAGTGCGTGACCTTCTTCTCCACGTACGTGGCGCACGCGGCTACGATCTGGGTGAACATGGCCTCGACATGCGCAACTTCTGCGGTAATACTCGTCCGTTGCGTCATCACACAGGCGGACGTCCTCCCATGTACCGCCAGTCCGTCGTCTAATCCACCAACGCGGGGTCTGCCGCGGGAAAACGCCAGAAGACAGCGCGACACACAACTGGACGACTGCCTCACACGTGGCCACGCAATCCGGCGCTTCGGCAACGCTCTGCAACAACACTCTTCGTTTACGGAGCTGCATCAGCATGTCGCGTGAGGACGACGACATGTCGCTCATCGTGTTGACGACGACGACGGTCACCGCCATCGCCGCCGCGTCGATCGCTTCTTCGCATAGACAGTGCCCGCAGTCGCGAATGTCCATCTCTGAGAATCGTTCCGCCTCTATAGCGTAACGCCTGCCACACCCGCCGAAGACACGCCCGCTGCTCAACCCAGCCGCAGGAAACCACGCACACCGGAGCCGAGGATGCGCCCGCTGCTGTACGCTGGGACAAGAGATGACGTACGCCGTAGCCGAAGACGCGCCCGCTGCTCTACGCTTTCAGGGGACAGTACGCACGCCGGAGGTGAAGATGCGCCTTGCAGGAAGATGCGCCCGCTGGTCACAACTTGCGTACACTCGAAAGATGGGTCCCCGCGCCGAACGGTTCGCCAGCGCCGTCTTTTCTACGTCACACGCGCCGCCTGGCCGTCCTCCGCCCCGCCACCCTGCGTTCGCAAAAATTCGAATTTGAATTTTCGAAGTTCGGGGTTGCCACGCTTTTCACCGACCCGTCCTCACCCTCCCAAGGGCCACCGCAGTGTGTACCACGGACACCAGCCAGGAATGGACAGACATCGGCGGCGCGGCTGCGTATACGCATATGAAAACCGGCCGCGGGAGACCTTTTAGGACGAATCCTAAAACATGATTTTTAGGATTGCGTGTAACGACGCTGCGCGAAATCCTAAAAAATCTTTAGGACTCGTCCTAAAAAATTGAGGATTCTTTTAGGAGTGTCTAACGAGACCCTTGGTTACTAATCACAGCCCAAAGGGGTCTGCTTTCGTCCCTTCATTTCCAGAGGGCGGCGGGCTTCACGGTCATTTTCTTTCTTTTTCCTTTTTTTGGGAAGGGAGAATCACAGTTTTTTTTTTTCCCTTTTTCTCCGGCAGGTGCTGCTCCGCACCAATAGATGG